AAAAAAAGAATTTTCAATGATATAAAAAAAAGTCAGATGCTTTAAAAATGAAAAAGAAAATAAAAATGCAAACCCCAGAAAATAATTGGAAGGGTTTCTTCTTGCTAGACTTATAAAACTGGAGTATAAAGCTGAATAGATTTGAGATAGATCAATAATCCTTTATTTTTAAGACCAAGATTGTTTTATGAAAAATGAAGGAACTGTAAAGTTGGCTTATTTGATCAGGATTAAAATGGGATATGTTTATGACTAGAAAACATCGCATACTGGACTTTATGTATCCTAGCATGATGACATCTAAACTGGCTTTTAGTTACCATAATTATTTTGAGTACAAAATAATTGTAAATAATTTTACTTGGACAAAATAATTGTCCAAAGTAATGGTTCAAATAAGGGATCTTTGTCAACTTGTTCTCTTTAAAAGATAAAATATTTTTCTGTCATGTTAAATTTTATTCTTGTTCATATTAGGTTAGTGGGATCATAGGTTATTGGGATCGCTTTATGCCTTCTAAATGTGGATTTGCTTATAGTTAAGTATTGAAAGTTGATTTGTTAACTAATATAATTATTTTCTTCTGCCAACCTAGCAGTTCGAAAGCATGTCAAAAATCCAAGTATGAAAATAAGGACCAACTTTGGTGGGAAGGTAACAGTGTTCCGTGCGCCTTCAGCATATAGTCATGCTGGCCACATGACCAGACAGCGCTGGCTCTTCGGCTTTGAAAGGGAGATGAGCATCGCCCCCTAGAGTCAGGAACAACAAGCACATATGTGTGAGGGGGACCTTTACCTTTATAATTATTTTAGGACTTTGGATTTTGTGTTGATACCTGGATTGAAAAATACATTGCTTATTGGATTTGCCTATAATTAAGAGTTCAGTTATGGGATAAAAAGTTTTATATCTCAAAATTAAAATAAAGTGAAGAGATAGTGAAATTGTTTATACTTATTGTGATAAGGGTAAGAAATTGTTTACTCATTTTTTTCTTTTCTCTTTTTTTGCAGCTTTTATTCTCTCTTCATTTTTTGAGTTTGTGTTATATTTTTATTGATTCAATTAAAACTTTTAATAACAAGCCTTTAAAAAGTTACTTACTCATGGAAAATAGTTTTAATTAGTTTTCTCTAGAATGATAATAAGGCTTTTTAATTTTGTGCATTTGGTTTTGTTTAAATTGTAGCAGCCAGGAGGAGCTAATAAATTCCTCTCTATTTTCCTGGTAACTTGTTTTTCAAAGTTCTAATAATTCTGGGAACCCTTAGGAACAGTGAGGCACAGAAGTCTTCAGCTTGAAAGGAATTCCCTTACTATGGCACAGTAAGTTCAGGATCAGCAGTGGGATTCACTTACCTTCCCTATCAGTTTGCAAATGTGAGCACACGCACCACGTCTACACATGCGCGCCACTTGCATTACGTCAGGGCAAGTGGGTGGAGCCTCCCGCAGCTGCTGCTACCAGTTCGCCCAAACTGAAGAGAACCACCTGAATACGACCTCTGTTCAGGATTCTTTTTGCTTCTAAGCAAGTGGATGTATAACATTTCATAGATAAAAGTTTCTGGAATTCTTTACAGTGCTTTCCTTATTTATGGCTTCACCTAATCTAATAATCTCCACCAATCACCGCCCTCTCCAAATCCTAGGGCAACTCATAGATTTCCTCACTAGAAAACAGTCAGAAGAGAGGACCGATAGTCCAGTGTTTCTCAACCTTGGCAACTTGAAGATGTTCGGACTTCAACTCCCAGAATTCCCCAGCCAGCGAATTCTGGGAGTTGAAGTCCGGACATCTTCAAGTTGCCAAGGTTGAGAAACACTGCGATAGTCAACTCTTAGGTGTATTATGTATCTTGATCTGGTTAACATGTTTATTATCAAAAAATTTTATTAGTTTATCAACATATATAATACAGGAATACAAAGAAAAATGAAAATAATGGTAAAATAAGAGGATAAATATTCACTGTAAGAATTTTCTGTATTAAGACATGAATCCTACTCCAATATTTCTTTGGTTTATCCCATGTCTCCCATAAATGGTAAAACATTCCTTCTTTACATTTATGTTTTCAACATTTGAAATACCTTTATATATTCCTGACAGCTTATCCGGTGTTAAATACCAATGATACATCATCTTATATAAAAAAAAAATTGTTATAATTTAATGTGAATTCTAAACTTTTCATCCACCTATTCTCCCTATGTTCACGCATTACACTATATCCAAAGTTCTTTGCCCATTGAATCATTCAATGCTTTACATACGCATTCTTCAAATTCAAATTCAATAGCAATTTATAAACCTGAGTAATAACATGTTCATCACTATTACACAGTAGTATATCTAATTCACTTTTCAGAAAATCCAATCCATAACTCTTTTTGTCTAGTCTAAATCTTTCATTCAATTGTAAATATGTAAACCAATGGCAAACACCTCCTTCTAATTCTAACTCCTCTTTAGATTTCAGAATAAGGTCACCATGATTGAAATAATGTTATTTGGCCATAATCCACCAGTCTGGCCTTGCTACCATTTCCTTTCTTAAAAAAAGGCTTCCTGGAGAGACACCAAAAGAGGCATCTTCACCGAGAACCTTATTTCATACCGTATATACTCGAGTATAGGCCGACCCGAATATAAGCCGAGGCACCTAATTTTACCACAAAAAACTGGAAAAGTTATTGACTCGAGT